CTTTCCATTCTGTGCCGAAAGTTAACTAAAAGAGTCGCTTAGCTTGGCCTCATTTAAAAATGAAGGTTTGTTTGTGGAACATCCTCAGCCGACCTAAGAACGTGTAATTGTCTTTTATCTCTCTCTCCGTTAGAGACATGCTTAAGGCAAGAAATCATTTGTAAACTAAATTCAAAAGTCAACCCTGGAGACAAACAGCAAGCTGGCCTACTTATGCTTGTATCTTAAGAGAATCTGGTCAGTAGTTTAAGCGCCCGTGATAAAAGAGATGTAAATTGAATTACTTCCTTGTCTCCCAAAATGATTTCGATCGCGATTTTAGCCCAATTTGTATCTAATTGCCACCCTTTCTTGACCCATAAGCTGCATATGTGGGTGCTTTAGACCATTCAATTTGTCTCTCTATTTGGATCATGATTTAATGAATTTTAGATTTCCGGCTGCTAAATAGAGCGGAAGACTAAAAAGTCAGCAAAAGTTGGCATAATTACTAACATTTTGAATAGAAGGCACGAGTATAGGAGAGTGATGGAGATCAAACTAGACACTAAAAGCTGATGAGGATGGACAATGAAGAAGCCAAACAAATGATCACAAAAATAGATTATAGGAAGTGTATGTATAATTGGAGCTAGTCACTATCCTGGCATGGAAGAATTTGTGAGTTGTCCTGAGAAGGTCTCTTCGGAAGTGACGGCGGAGCATGGAGCACGGATGAGGCTTACTGTACATGGGTGGCGGGCTGAGGACATTCTTGCTCGAATCAAGAGTTACAACTGCTCCCGGTTTCAAGAGTGGCCAATTTCTGGATCTCCCAACCAAGCGTTTTAAATAGAATAACTTTGGATATTAGTTTGCTGATCTACTTTCTGCTGAGGACATCTCGAATAGAGACAATGTCGTGAATGATGCAGCGAATCGAACCAGGAATAAAAGCTTTATCCAGCTTAGGTCGCATAAGTTGATAAAGGACTGATGGGTTGAATTTTCCCACTTTCACATGAGTTGGTCTCAAAACGCCATCCAACTTCATTTTTATATGCTACTTTAAGAACAAAGTTAAGCGAGATTCTGTAGGATTATGAGGCCTATTCTAAGGAATGTGTGAAAATTCAACTATCAATTCTTTATCATCTCGAGGGTGACTAGAACCCTTCTTCAAGATCTACCGATTCTCTCGGAACCTACTTACCATGAAACCGACGTGCAGATTTGCTTTTCTTCCTGAATCCCTTTTAATCCCTTTTTCGGCATAAGCACCATTTTCTAAGATGACTATTTCAAGTCTGAGTCCCTCTGTACCAGTTTTCAGCCTGGCCCCAATTCTTGCCATAATCCATCTTTATCTCACATCAACTGCAAATTACCTCGCCGCTAACTTAATGCGGCACTTTCAAGCTTTCCCACATGAATGCCCCTCCTCTTTGCCCTCGAGTCTACATGCCAGAAGTTTGCGGCCTCAAAGGGTGAGAAGGGTACTGGACTCGTCTTCAGCTCGACTGGAAAGGAAAACTCTTTCTCCTTTGGTCTGACAACTTCGATACCTCTGCAATCCATTGGCGGAGATGGCAGCAAAGAGAAATGGGACCCAAGTCACTTACAGCATCTCTCAGCTCGGCGCAGACCGGACAACTGGCCAATATCAGCTCGTAGGATTCGCGACCACCAGCATACACTCCGGACCGGTTCTCGGCCGACCTCTTCGAGGCTGGCCGGACAGCCGCTGTGTGGGCGGCGGCGGCATAGTGGAGTGGTGTACGGCCAAGGCAGTCCTGAAGCATGGCCAGTTCAGGCAAGAGATCAAGCAGGGCGCGCACCAGCGAAGCATGTCCATGCATCACCGCCACATGGAGCACATTGCGTCCACGACCGTCTCTGCCTGAGGATGTGCACATACAGACAAAAGCATGAACACACATGCAGACGCACGTGCAAAAATACATAAAGACATACATACATAGACATTATTAGGCATTGGCATGGGCATGGGCAAGTGGAGATGAAAGAATTAATGTACAATTTGGTAATGTATGTAAAGGTATGGCTCCAAGTGTCTCATTTTTCTCGTCATCGTGTATCATGTAGCTGTCTTGGCGAATAGATACGCCAAGATGGGAGACAGATTAACTACTTCATCTTCATTTATTGTGTGTACTGTGAGATACTTCATCCTAGATGTATATTCCTTTTTGTCGGATGATTTGACCTTAGGCTGCCTATAGATCCCATATATTCTGTAGGTTTTAATCTCTTAATTCTCTCTTTAACTTAGGCAGCTGCATGTATAACCAAATAATTAGTAGAACTTATGATATTTCATTAGTTCTTATTAAATAATATCCCTGGAAGCCAAAGCATGAATGAGATTTTTGCTGCTATCATGTCAAAGTAACAGTCGTAAGATCGGCAATACCGAGGCGAGGGGAAAATGGGTCCTGTTGACCTGGTTTTGCCTCAGTTGGGTGAGACCGGGGGTATGTACGAGAGGCACCTTCGACGCCAGTTAACTGTGCCGCCCCAGAGAGTCTGGAAGGACGATTCGGGTGTCAAGGGGCAAAAACGGAGTTCAGCTTGGAGTGATTGGCTAAACGCCACGAGACTAGACCAAATTGAGGTAGTGCAAAGTGGTTGAGGTTAGTGGCTTGACGACTGTTGGCAATAGGCGGCGCTAGATGGAGAAAGATGATCGTACAGGACGCAACGTAAATGTCCTACCGGCTCCATTAGCATCATCACAGGCATCATGTCTGTGGCGCAACTACTTTTACGCTTTCCTCATCCATCCCTGCTCCCACCACTCCATACACAAGAACAGACGATACATTGAGACAACCACAGCTTACCCAAAATCACCTTCCGCTTGCCGACGAGCCTCGATAACACGGCCATGTCGGCCTTGGTCACGGCGGCATGCAAGTGGCCGATATCGCGGCGGTAGCTCGAAGCAGAGTCCAGTAGGCCGACCAGTTCCGAGTGTCCGGCGGACTCGGCCAACTCTCGAGCAGTGTGAATTTGCTGCGCGGTGTAGAACAACCTGTCGTCAGCTTCAAAGGAACAAGGGAGAACATCAGAATTTTGCGGCTCAGATCATTGGAACATGTAGTCTGGTCATGTATTTTCTCTGTATGATCACATGAAACATTTGGCCCTACAGTCAACTCTTGGAATTGACTTGCCTCGATTAGCCCGTTTTAGTATAGCTCGCAACTAATATCCAAAAAATGTTTAGTCAATCAATCCAACTGTTATTTCATGTTTGCATCATAGAGTTTGATCTTCAATTTTTCCTGATCCTCCTCACGAAACATTCAACTTTGTACTCAGCTGTCTCATATTAAGTGCATCTCGATCCTCTCGTTTTATTTTTATTTTTTATTTGGCCTGATGATACTGCCCTAAAAATGCTTTGTAGATGAATCCAAATCGTAGTTTCTCATTGCAACACACAGTCAAATAATCATTTTTCCCTACTCAGTGGGACAAAACATTTGATTTTTCGTTTATAAGTAGGCCTTCAAGACTATCAGTAAATCATATATATATATGAGATGTATCCATCTTATTTCGTTT